CTGGCCAGCGAACAGACATGAACTGGATGAAGTCCTGGTGAAGACCAGTCATGCTCCCTATAAACCCAAACACAACTTTCTGTGCACTCCTTACAGCCAAGGCACCCTCAGAAGCACATACCCTGCCTGAATCTTCCCAGGCCTGCTACTTTGTATGAGCCCTGAATTCTCTCTTCATAGGTCAGGCAGTTGCCCCAGGACTTGGGGCAGGCAACCCTGGTTTGTCTTGAGTTTTACACAGAAGAGGCAAGAGCCCTGGGGGTGTTATCTATGCAAAGCTGCAATAAGGTGCTTGAGCCATGCAGGGGTCAGCTCCTGAGGGTCAGGGTCACAAAAAGCTAGAGCCCTGGGGAGTTCCTTGCTTAATCCCCCAAACCCTAGATGCTAAGATAGCTGGCCCAGTCTACCAAAGGGATCCTCAATGGGGCTGGGAATTAACCAGGAGGATAGCCACAGTTCCAAGATTCTAGATGTCAGTGGGGGCAGGGAAGAACTAGTGGAATAAAGCCATTTGCTACAGTTATGGACCAGGCACAAGAGTCCAGCTCGGCAGACTGCACTGAGTCAGCAGGCACAGAGGTGGGGGGGGGGGGGAGGGCGGGGCTTTACGTACTAATTCAAAGACCAGCAGTTATCTGGAGCAGCCCCTCACCACACCCATACTGGGGTCAGAGGACCCATGTGCTCATTTGGTCCTGTCAAAAGTCACACAGGGAGGCATCACTATTGTTCTTGTTTGCAGATAAAGCACAGAGAAGCTGAGAAACTTTCCTGAACCCATGGGGCTCTCCATAACCCAGTTGACTGTGGGACTCACTAAGATGGCATACCTGGTGGTCCTGATGCAAGAGGTGAAAAAATGCTCAGGGCTACTCTTTCTCAGCCACCTGAAGCCACAGGATTGAGATGGGATAGAGATAGGATAAATGTCATATCGTCTGCCCTGCAGCCCTGTGAGTCTGGTAGAGCCATAATACCAGTCCAGTACAGCAGGCAACAGCTATGTAACACGTGTGTGGCTGTTTAAATTTAAATGAACTGAAAGTCAGGAAAATGAATTTCCATCCTCAGGCCACAAGTGACATTTCCAGTTTGTAGCTGCGGTGGCAAGTGGGGCATGCAAGACAAAGTGGACACCAGGCACTGCCACAATCACAGTGGAACCATGTCCATCTAGAAGCAGATGCTTCCCTTGACACTAGGACTCAAAAGCCAGGCCCTCTCTGCCCTTTGTCACCCTAAGAACTAAGGAAGGGAACTTGGAAGGGAGGTCAGGAGAGGGCAGGGCTATAAAGGTCAGACTCCTGCCTCCCCACTTATTGCCCAGAAGCCTGGGATGATGATTACAAAGTGATCACCTCCTGGAACTGCACTTACCTGTACTGACACTAAGTAGAAATGGCCTCGGACAGCACTCCCGAGACCCCATTCTGTCCCTGGCCTGGGCTGGTGTTACTAGAGATGATGAAACAATTCAAAGGTGCATGCACCACAGAAACAAAAGTTGGGCAGTTGCTCCTAGATGCTCTTGGGGTGTATTGGCTACCATTAACCCTGGCTGGCCTCAGGGTGTAGAACCCTTTCTGGAGGGTCTGTCACCATCTTTACCTGGGCCCAGGCAGGAGCAGAGGCCCTTGGGGAGAGGAACCAAGAAAGTTGCAGAATCTGAATTGGCTGGTAGCTGGGTAGGGACAGGGGTGTCTATGAAATGCCTGGGGCATACAAGGAGACCAGTGAGTTCAGGACCTCGCTGATGAGGAAACTATGAAAAACCTGCACCTAGCATCAGTTCCTCTTGACATTTTCATGGTATGGAGGCTTTAAGGCTGAGCTCGTTGCTGGTTGAGGAGGGCAGAGCTGGTAGAGGGCAGGGGCTTGCACCTGCTGAGTTGTAGAATGGCAGCACTTTGTGATCTGACCAGAAAACTTATACAAGGCATTATCACTGTTAGGTGCACAATGGGATCAACACTCAGTATGTTGCAGGATCATGGTTCAGGCTGACTAGGGTCAGAATTCAGCTTTTAAACAGAATAAGGTGTCTATGCAACCAGGACTAGGACTCAAGTCTATGACTAAGGAAGGGCTTGGTGTGTGACCAGGTTGTGAGTAGAGTTTCTGGTCAGTGAATTCAGTGTCATAGTTGAATCTAACTGTGATTTGGAGTCTGCTTTCTGCCAGGGATGTTGCTTAGAAGGTACAAAGAGGTTCATTCTCAGTGGCTGTATGAGGGAACTCCTGGTCAGGGCCCAGCTATGTGGACCTTGCTCAGTAGGAGATCATCGATTCTAAGCATTCATGGCTTCTCAGCAAGGGCCACACCCTTGGAAGAAAATAGATTTGGGTGTGGAATAGTGCCTGGTAGGTCTAGGCCAGTGTAGGTCTTGGGAGAAGAGATACTGGTGGAAATCCCCTGGTTTAGATTTATAGGATCCTGGTACAATTTAACTGGAGGAATTATTTAAAGTCACTTGTGTTGAGGGGTAGGGGGTGACAGGTGTATGAATGGCAACCGAGGCTACAGCTGGGTTGGTTTGTGGATGCTTCGGGGTGGCAGTCCCTGACTCTGACATTCCTCTCATCTGAAGAGGGGGTGAGGTCTTACCTTGCACCGTCTGGACTCTGGGTCAGAGGCTTGGGTGAGGGGGAGTTGTTGAAAGCAGCAGGTCAGTGGGGCAAGAATGCCTTCCCACTCAGGGAGAGGAAGGTTAGGCCTCTTGCCCTTGCCCTCCCACAAGAGGCCTAGTTTGGGAGGAAAGACTACTTTTCTCTGATGGCACAGTTCAAGGGGGTCTCAGCCTTGCTCAAGAGCCTTCGGGCAGATCCCAAATTCCTGCCAGGGAGTTCTGCTGCCCTCCCCCATCAGCAAGAAACAAGTGTGGAAAGCAAAGTGCTTAGATCCTGACTCATAGCCTCACTGCTGCTCAGCTGCCTCTTGGCCTGATATCAGAGGCCCCCTGGTGACCACAGGCTGCTACTGCAGCTAGAAGACCAAAGCAGGACTAACCTCCAGAGACTGGAAAGTTAAGAGCCCCCCCCCCCCACAAGAACAGATGATGGTCATCAGGGGCCTTCAGGGATACTAACTCCCTTTTGTGATTTCAAATGCCTTTGGAAGAAGGCCCCTTCTCAAGAAGGCTAGGTGGATATGGTCCTGATGAGTAGGATGGGCTGGGAAGGACCTTGCTGGACTTTGATGTGGCCCGGCTATCGGTCCCTGGAGACACCCTATAAGTTGAGGCCTTGCAGGAGTAACTGGTGTGTACAGAGTGGCATGTGCAGAGTGCTTGGGAACATAATTGACTTGAGGTACCCCCCACACACACACAGTGGCATAGGAATGTTGACTGTGTCATTGATGGAGGACACTGATTAGAGGTTTTGGTGGAGGCTTCAGGACAGTAGTGTGAGAGCTGACACACACCCAGGGGGACAATGCTGACATGGGTTGTGAGTTTGTGTTGTTGGCAGTGGCCCTAAGGGAGAGATGCAAACAGCTGGACCAGAAGTGTCTCGGGTAGCAATGGCATCAGTGATGGAGAGTGTAAAAAGTAGTGGATCCTAAACAAAACATCTTGAATTCAGGATGGACCACAAATTGTGCAACAGGAGAAAGGGACTCAATGCAGAATGAGAGGGACACAAGGCAACTTCCCTGAGATCAGTGCTCTGGGACACTTGCTGTCAGTCTAGACTCAGGGGAGGTGGGGGGGGGTCCAACCTTTTGATGGGAATGTGACAATGTGGTCTACAAATGTGTTGGGTCACACTCATCGCTATCCTGGGATGTACAGAGCTGGTGGGCTGCAGATTGAACGTGTCTGCTACAGAGGCCCCTTTGAACACCTAACAGGAGGAACCAGGGATCTTCTGATGGAAGACAAAGCAGCTGAAGAGGCTCATCTTCACCTATGGGTGGGAGTTGGCATGAAGGGTCACGTTTAAACCCACCTCCTTTTGGCTCTATTCCTGGCTGACTCCCCTACCCTTATCATCACAGGAAAGGAGGTCCTCCCCTAGGTAAGTCTAGACCAGTCAAATACAACTGAAGCAGTTCAGCGCTCCACCTCTGTTCTTGGAAGGGCCCCAGTCCTGCCTCTGACTCCATCTCTTTGCCCATCACTCATTCAACCCACCCACCCACTACGCATGCATCGGTCTTCCACCTGCATGGCCCGCCTATCTATGTAGCCCCCTCCCCCAGTGCCATCAACCAAGTCCCCTTTTCCCTTAGCCCTGCTCACTCTCACCCACCTCTACAATTTTACCAGGCCCCGACCTTAACGGTTACCTGTCCATCCATCCACTCTCCCGCCAGCCTCTACCTACAGTCACCTGCCTCCTCCACCCACACACCTATAGGCCTGTGCACAGCCCCTAACTCCTCTTCTCCATCCATCGTTTGTTGGTCCATCACCTCTCACCAAGATGCAGCCACTCCCCTGCTCCTGGAAGAGAGCATAGTCCCAACTCTTGGCTTTCCTGCTGCGTGGGGCAGGAGCCGGCTGTCCTAGGTGCGCGCGCCTGTGCGTCGCACCCCTTCTTCGTGATCCTGCTCCCCTCCCCCAGCCCGCCCCCCGCTCGCGCTCCCCCTCTAATGTGTGATCTGGAAGCTCTATAAAGCCTGATGTAATCCGTAATGCAGTCTCTGGCTCCCGATTCGGGATCCAGTTTCAGAGAGCGAGAGATTGGGGAGCGCCGGCAGCCGGGCGGGGGAGCAGCTTGCCTCTCTCCTCCTCCTTCCCCGCGTCCTCGGCCTCCTCCTCCTTCTCCCCGCGCCGCCCCGCCCCCGACTTCGCTCCGCTCGTCACCACCCCCCCTCAGGAAGGGGGAAAAAGGCGAGAAGAGCCGGGCAGGCGAGAGGACCGAAGCGGCGGCGCGGCCGGAGAGGGAGCGGCGGGCGCAGGCGGCGGCGGCAGCGGCAGGCGCGGCGTTGGCGGCGGCTCCGGCAGAGGGAGCGGAGCGGGCGAGCCAACCGCACAGGCGTCCGCGCCGCGTCCTAGCCCGGCTCCGGGCCCGCGCGCCCCGCATAGCCTGCAGCCCCGGCATCGAGACCCTCCCGGCGCCCGAGGGGCTCCGCCAGGCAGGGGTGGGGAGGAGCCTGCGAGCGCCCGCGGGTGCGCTCCTGGGAACGTCTCGGCGGCGGGGCCCGGAGCGGGTCGGGGGCGGCAGCGACAGTAGCCTCGGGTCCGGCGCGCTGCTCGGCCGCTGGCGACGCGGTGCGCTACGGGGGCTTTGCAAGTCGTTGGATCAAGTCCTCGTCCGCGGGGCCTCCACTGCTGGGGAAGGTAAGAAAGGCTTGGGGGGGGGGCGAGGCGAGAGGGGGCGTCTCGTGTTCAGAGAGGTTCGGGGGAAGGGTGGCCTCTCTGTCTTCCCAACTTCGCCGTTTGGGGCTTCGTAGCACCCTGGTTTGGGATCGGAGCTCGGGAGTTTAAACAAACCCTCCCCAGCCTCCTTCATCTCCAGCAGTGGCAACGGAATCTGGCAGGTCTCTGAGCGCCTGCATTGGGCGGGCTGAGGAGGGGGCACCCTGGACGTGGGAGAGGCTTCTTAGTGCTCTTACCTCCCCCTCATCCTCACCAGGCAGAGCCAATCTGGCATACTGGGCCGGGAAAGGACCCCTTGCTCTATCACCGGCACAGACCCGAGGCGCACTGGGGAAGGCGTTCCCGTGGCGCCCTGACACACAGATGCTGACAGGGGTCTAAGGGAGCCCCGCCTGGCTCCCTATGCCGGTCCAAGGAGACTCGCGAGAGAAAACCCGCTGTGTCTCCCATTCCCTGATCTTACCCAGCCCGTTACATTATTATAGGGCCCGGCTGCATATTCCCCCCACGCACAGAGATAGAGACAGGCAGAGAAACCCCTAGACTCCCCTTCACAGTTCTCACCTACAGCCCCAACAATGGCAGAGAAAGGAGACCCCGGAGGCCTATCTCCAAATTCGGAAAAAGGGCTGTTCTCGTGCCCCCACCATCACAACTGACACGCGCAAACGCCCCAGCTCTTTCCCTCCCGGTGTTCCTTCCTGTTCGGTTGTACAGGCAGAGCAGAAAGGCTGCCCTGAACTTTAGGTCAGCCAGCTGCCCTCTCCGACCGAAACAGCGGGGCTGGGCTCTGAGCATTCCCGGTTGCGTTTCTCCAGTGGGTAGAGGCCACCAGCCTCCGCTGCCGCTGCGCTCTTTCGGAGCTGCGTGCCGCTGCTGCCTCGAGGAATGATCACGGCCCCCGCCCCCTCCTGAGAGGCTGAGGGCCCGGGATCCAGCCCTTTCCCCTGGTTCTCTGTACAACCTAAGCAGAGCAAACAGTATCCCTGACCTCGGGAGAGGGGAGGTGTAGCGGATAATCGCCACGAAGCGAGGTGGTTCTAGGGCTGGTCCGAGGCTGCTGCGGCTCTGCTTGGGTCCCTCCGCCTGGCTGTGGTGGCTCCTGCTTGGTCACTCCCAGGCAACCCAGAGAGCTGCACCAGCCTGGCACCCTCTCGGGCCTGTTGGGCACCCTTACCCTTTCCACTTTTATTTTGGGTTTCCAAGTTTCTCGGAGCGCGCGGACCGGGCTAGGACTAGACCAGCCTTAATCCACTCATTCAGCGCCCCTTCCCTCCCCGAAGTCCCCATCGCGTTCCTCTCCCTTGGGTCTGGGGCGCAGATTCCTTAGCGGCAACTCCTAGGGAGTTGAAAGGCATGGAGGCGCGTGGGTGGGTACGGGGCGCGCACTCCCGCCCCAGAGGAGCCACTTGGCATACGTGTTGAGGAGGGGGTTGGGAGGTCCGCGTCTCTTCCACCCTGAGGACCCAAGGAGACCCTCTGTGCCCTGCTCTGTAACCACAAACACACGCCCCTCCTCGTGAGAGCTACTGCAGGGGCACAAACAGCAGGCAGAGGCATGGGGAGAAAGGCTGGGGTCTTTTACATTATCTGAGAAGCGGTATCCCGTATTTGGGATCCGAGAAAGCAAATGTAACATCCCCCGGAACCTTCAAGCTTTCCTTTTCTCTGAGACCCTTCCAACAGCGGCAGCAACAAGGGAGGTCGAGGAGGTAGCTTCTCCCTTCCCAACCGCGGGCGGTCTCAAAACTCTGTGCTCGGACGCTGCCGGCGTGCCATAGGGTCTGGCTTTGAGTACTGAGTACCCAAGCAAGGTCAAGCAGGCAGAGGAGGGGGCAGAGGCTCCTGGGCGCGTACCCGCGCACGCAGATTTGGAGCTTTGGAAGGGGGTGTGGGTAGCCGCCGAGTCAGTCCCGCGAGCCCGCCGCCGGCTCACGTTCCCGGGAGGTGGACATAGTGCGAGTTCGGGGATCCCGGAGCGTCTCGAGCCCGGTGCGAGGCCCTGCACCCTCCCTCTCCCCTAGCTCGCACTGCCTTCAGACTTGTTGCGCCTCGATCTAGGGACTGGAGACCGGCGGGGTAGCTTCGGAGCCCGGGAGGCTGGGGCAGAGCCCCAAGGCCAAGGGATGCGCCAGGGAGACGCGCGGATGCGCGCTGGGAGCGCGAGCAGGGAGTTTGCTGTCTCGGATCCGAGAGAAGGACGCTTGTCCCCGCCTCAATCCCGCGCGGGGGCGGAGAGGAGGCGATCTAGTCGCCTTGGTCGGCTCCATACCGCACTCCAATGGACCTTGAGCCGCGGAAGGGCCACCGCCAAGTTGCAGAGCCCTCCAAGACCCTTCCTTTGCTCAGAGGCTCTTGGGCCTCGGTAGCTGAGACCGCGAAATGGGAACGCGCATTATGTTCTTGGAACGCTTACAGCCCCGACCCCTCGCGCCCATCCAGAGATCCGACGTTCCGGGTCCGCAGTGTGCTGGTTCTGCAGCGTCCAGGCCCGCCGGTTTCCGAGGCCGCTCTGCGCCTGCGGACACAGCGGTTAGGCCAGGGAGCAGCGGGCCCCAAGCAGGGCCCGGCGAGCGGCAGGGACCTGGACAGCTTCCTATGGAGTCCTCGTCTCCTGGCTGCCCGCCTAGCCCAGTTCTGCCTCCTAGAGCGGGTCTGGGGACGCGGAATCAGTCCCCAGGGGATGCCATGGGCTCCAGGCCCAGGCGACCGGCGCCGGGCTGCAGTGGTGGAGGGCGGGAGGGCCCGGCGCGCTGTCGCGGACGACCAAGAGAGGGCGCCCGCGTTGCGCTGCGCCGCGCCGCGCCGGCCCTGCCCGCCCCTTCCGTCTCCTCTGCCGCGGACCCGCGCTCCAAGCCCCATCTTAGGCAACCCCCAGCCGCTCTCTCTTGTCCCTTGGTTCCTGCAGCCAGAGCCAGTGACGCATCCGGTGTTTCAGATTGTGCCTGCATCACCCTCTCCCAACTCGCCTGGCTTGTGAGTGCAATGCACAAGCGTGACTGTGTGTTTGTGGGCACGTGTACATATGTGTCAAATGATGCACGTGCGTGTGGGACAATCTGCAGCCTGCATGCATATGTGTGCATGCATGCAGTTTTCCACGTGTGTGCATGTACTCCCTCTACATAGAATGGGCTCTAGCACCCTCCCATCCTAAGCAAGTCTGAACCTGAGAATTTTGTGAACCCCACCATGCCTGAAAGTCCACCCTTAGGGTCCTTGTGCCGCCTAGGGTACAACTGCGCCAAAGCATAGAGCTGTGAATTCTGGGTAAACACTGGGCCTGTGGGACCCTGTGCACAGCCCACATAAACACAGAGGAAGTCCTGCACACCAAACACCAGGGTGCCCATTGTACAAACATGCAGGAAGTATAGCTGTGAGCAAAACCAGCCCCATGCCCCCCCCCACGCACAGAGTTAGTGGGAATATAGGACAGGGGTCTGACAGGCTTCTGGGGCTGAGGTAGCCTAGAGGTGTAGCTCTCGTAGGAGAGTCCCAAGAGTGTCAAAACTAAAGAGCCCCCCAACAAGAGTAAGGGAGTGATAAGATCGGAAAGATTTGAGGGGAAAAATGGCTGTACAAAGGTCCTGGAAGTATGGCTGCAGATATGAGGACTAGACAGAATCCGAGGAGGAAGATGAGGGAAAGAACCCAAGAACCCTCCTTCAACCTAGTAGACTTCTGAGAGCCATAGACAGGATTGGCACTTGGGCTGATAGACATGCCAAAGAGATAGTGGGTATGCCTTTGGGCAGTGGGTCTCAGGGGCACCAATCGGGAGATTAATCACATGCTCTTATGTATGAGGCTGCCACACCCATGGCTGCGTGGCACAGGAGGTATAGGAAAGTTTGTCACACACGAGAGTACCTAGGCTGATGTGATCCAAAGTAGCCCACATGCCATTTGCAACAGACATACAGATATTCCATAAAGAGATACACGGGGCAGGAGAGGAGGGCTTGCACACCACTGCCCAAAACCCTATGCCCACTGTGGACTCACTGGGCCTCATGTTGGCACAGGCAACACAGCAAATAGAACATATTTCACATGTGCCCATGTGTGTAGGAATGTCCTGGGGGTGGGGAGGTTCTAGGGATACACTGATAGTTGGGAAGGTCCATGTCACTTGCTTCCAGAATATCCAGGCTGGGGAAGATTATGCCTCTGGCTTCCTGCACCCTCTGTCAGACAGACTGTGACTGTTTGCATTCTACAATCCATATACACACTCACCTCCTTGTACCCTTCCTTCCCTCCTCACCTTCTGTTCATCATCAGATGGTATCATCTTGGTCTCTGGGGTTTTTCCATCTCACCCTAACCATCACCCCAACATCTCATGTCCACACACAAGGGCCCACCATTGCCCCACACCATCACCCCTCCACCCCTCCCTCAGAACTGTTTGAGGTTCCCAACTTGCCTACCATCTAACATCTCACTCCCTGGAGGTTTATGGGTCCAAGCTAGGTCAGGAGTGCTGAGGGCCACTCAGCCTTGCTACTGTAGGACCTGAAGCTGCTGTTGCTTTCTTGAACAACCTACAGGGGTTGGTCTTCTGAGCTTGCTAGTCCTTCCCAGAGATAAATGACATTCTGACTCCGCCAGGTGGATTCTAGGGAACTTAGAGGCAGGGTTAGGCCATAAGAAGGGCCCAGGAAGAGGATGGCAAAGCCCTCATGCCTATCTCACTTGACTGACGACCACTTTTGGGGAGCTGACTTTCAGCTGGGATATTGGGTTGAAGGGCATGTGGTGTGTCAGAACAATAGAGAAAGGTCCGCAGTGTATGGCCCTTGGGATTCTCCAGGCCATGTGAAGGCAGGCTGGACTTGAGTGGCTGCTCTTGACAAGCTTGGATGTGGGGATACTATGGGAAGAGCACAAGTCCCAGACCTACCCACTGACATCCACGCTCTGACTTTCCCATGCCCCTCCCTGCACTCACAGTA